GCAAACATACAGAGACGTAACAATACATAGACATATATCAATGCCACTCCCTAACCAAATGACTTTAGAGAACCAAGAAAGCAGGTACAAATCAATATTATATCTTACCCAATAGAAAATGAACTCTAACCATTTCACTACAGGTACCCCTTTAAACATTTTTCTGCACAAGTCACTGTGTTACACTCAAAATTTAATTAAACACCTTTACTATCAACATATGTGAATGAAAGTAATATTGTGATGTATGTTATGATTCAAAGTTTTAAGTCCTTTATTTCAAAATAAACCTTTAAAACTACTTAAAATTTGAGATGAATTGTCGTGTGACTAACAAGCTATGAATATTTACTACTTTGTCACTCTGTATCTTCAATAACACAATGGCAGTCATGAAGATGTATGTGGAGGGTATAAGATGCTTCCATAACATTTTGATATTTCAAAGTTCTCTGAATAAATGCAGTTGAAAGAGGCAATAAATTTTTCCACCCTTGCCATGCCCACCTTCAAAAGATGATTTGTTTGAGCTTTATAGCCTATATCTAAGTGTTACATACATATGTGTATGGTCATTAGAAAAAGCTTATTTTACACTATAATCTAACAATGGATATTTTGAAGTTGGCACACAGTTGTAGTCACAGAGTACACTGATTATAGTATTGTTGGCTGCTTGACTATAGCAATTATGGTTGTTTCTTACCTAAATATGTTATAGTTAGAGATGCAGTTTAAATTGTATTTAGGTCTTAGTATTATATTTTAGTTAAATATGTATTATTTATATTTTAAAATTCATAATTAAAGGTTTAAACATTTTAAAATATACTTCATATTTTGAGTCTGTTCTCAAGGCTTACGATATTACGTGCTGCATCAAAATTTTGCTGAAGGGTTGCGCATGCCTCCCAAACACACTGTAATATGCCTCGAGGGCACTATTGACTTGTATTGAGATGAGTAATAGATGGTAAAGGACAAGAAAGAAAAATAAAACATTAAAAATTAACTATATGGAAAACGAAAAAGACCTGAAATTACGAATATATAACCAAAACAATATCTTTAAAGATATTATACAAAAAATTAAAAAGTAAGTTGTTTTTTCTATTTCCTAATTTTAATTATTGCATTGTATGTTGATAATAATAGTTACAGTTAATGATATGGTAGAGAAAATCAAATATTAACATTTGCCTTAAAAACCATTTGATATCTATTTAGTAGGTTCTAGATATTATGCAAATGAAATATGAAAACTATAAGACAAGGAAAAGTATTTTTATACTTAAAATGAAAATCACCTTGCACTCAATTTAATAGTTTGAGTACAAGTAACTGCAATAGAAAAATAACATAATTTAGTAAAAACACTTAATTATAATAATGTCATTCTATGTGTACAAGATACTTATGATTTTTAACAAAATCTTACCAGTTTTTGAGAGGATATGTTAAGAAATTGCATGTGAAAGGGTTAAGAATGAATATGTCA